CCCTTGTTGTTAACCAAAACCATAAAACAGATGTCAGTGGGCTTTGGATAAGATGTTTATGTAGTTTAATGAAGTGAGCTTTCAGTTGCACTGAATCCAATAGGGTCTATGCATATAAAATGCTTCATTCCTGTACTTTGAAGCAGGGACTAGAACTAATGAATAAATGGAGTATCTCTCGAAGTCAGGTTGGATGGGGTCCTGAGGAACTTGGTCTAGTAAAAGGTGTCCCTGCCCATGGCCAAGGAGTTGGAAATAGATGATCTTTAAGGTCTCTTCCTATCCAAACCATTCTATGATTCCATCAATTCTATCTAGCTCCTTCAATGAAAGCCAGGACTGTATTAGGTACCTAAACACCTTACACAGAGTATAAAGAACAGTTTAGTTTTCTACTTTTTCTTTCAAAGATGTTTCATGCACTAAAATAATCCACATGTAAGTGTCCCATGACATGAGTACAAACAAACGGAGGGCCAAAACCTACTAAAAGTACAAACACATTTCAAATACCTCTGTTGGGTGGAAGATGATGTTATCTATTCTGAAGTCTCCATGAATCAGGCTTTCTCCATTATCATCAGGTGGCAAGTTGTTTGCTAACCACTCAGCCAGCTTGTTCATGGCAGGAATATCTGTATGAGCAGCTGCATCATACTGCTTTTTCCAAGTTGATACCTAAAAAATACAAACACTCCAACAGATTTTTCAGTTGATTGACAAGTTTTTCAAGAGTACAAAATTTTGAAGCACATACTTCTGGGCTTTGGTTATCACCATGTTGCTTGAAAATTCAGTAAAACCCAGTATCTCTGCATTTGCAAATATGAACTATCAAAAGTTTAAATGAAGACTACATCTATTTCAATCCTATTTACATAGCCCAAATCTAGTGTTAGTCCAAAAGCAAATGCTTATCACTCCCTAAGTACAGCATTATAGAATCAATCTGAATGTAGTAGTGGCTTCAAAATGTGCACAATTAATTGAACTAAGTGAAGGTTTAATAGCTAAAATGTGATCATTAATAATTAACAATTTAGCTTGCAAATCAAATAAACATTCAAAGATCAGACAAAAAAAGGAGAATGTTAAGAGCTGTACCTGTCTTTTGCAGTATCCCGGTCCTCTACCATATCCTTGGAGACCCAATGACTGTAAATCAAAGGAGTGCAACAGGGCCAGAGTTTCTATCATTGCAAGATACAGAGCAGAACGCTCTGCTGGGCCCACCTCAGGCAGAGAGATGTTTCGGAAAATGCGACCCTAGAAATACCAGAAATCAGGTATTTGGTGGGATGTACACATCAGATGAAAAGAAGTAAAGCTATACATTACACAACCAAAAACAAATGCAGTGAACCAACACTCCCTATGCAATCAAAAATTCCTTCCTCAATTATTTTGTTTCTCACCCAGAGCCAATGAAGGGGTTCATGGTAAACCCTGGTCATTAGTCTATGGTGTATCTGTAGATGAAATTCTGAATTAGAGCACTCAATCCAGATACCCTCAAGTTTAAAAGTATCAGGAAAAACAATGTTTCTGTATTGTCCCTAAAAGCTAAATTGCAGAAAAAATACCAATCAAGACCCCGGGGAAAGGAGGGGCAGGCAGTGGAATGGGTGGGTTGTGGGTAAAAAGATTCAAATAATCCAAAGAAATTCACTTGTTTTTCTCCTTAAAAGCAGTTGAATACATTTAGAAGATGGGTTTGTTGTTCCATTTTCACAACTGTTAAAAAGGGAGCAGTGCTGACCATTGTAGAATGGACAGACCGTACATTTACATACTTAGAAATGTAAAATGTTTCTTCTAAAGGAATCACTTTGTTCTAATCAAAATTAGTAAAATTCTCCATCTTTGACGTAAGAAACGTGTTTCAAATTTTTCACAGCTCTTACATTCTATTACTCTTGATTTATGGTTTTTGTAAGAAGGTTAACCTAATCTTCAGAAAGTGGCCCACAAACTTACATTTCTAATTTCCCAGTGAACCTGGTGATAGAATGGAATGCTGTGAAGAGGAAAAGGCCTGAATTCAACTCCTCCTCCCACAGGATAAGAAAAAAAGACACAGTACAGCAGACTTATGCTCAAAATCACCAAAATTAACAAAAAGTATATCAACTCAGCTACAGCACCCCCAGAGTGCAGACAGAGATATGCTGTGTTCTTTCTGAAACTAGTGTTCAAACTGGAATTCTGCTTTGTTTTCAAGAAAAGGTGATTTTATGTCAGTTCCTATCTTCAATACAGGCTCCAGGATGTCCAAAGATTCAGTTTACAGACAGAATTTTTTCCCTCTGATTTGTGTATGCTTTCCACAGAAGCAATATTGCCTCATTTCAAGATATCCTTCCAAGAGCTCAAACAAGAACAAGAGGTTAAATACTGTGCTAAAAAATTCAGCAAAGTGTGAAATAAGCCCTGGAGAAGCTGAAATCTGTGAGAATTACTGATAGCTAGCATTTCTTTAAAATATCAGAAGATTATTTATGCTCATATCACAATACTGTGCTGGTTAAGGCTCTAACAGAAAGGTTTTAGACAATTCAAAAGCAGCTTGTAGGAGGGAGAAGGAAAGAATCTCACACTGAAGGACCAACCTTCACATGCTGCATTACATAAAACTCTGTTCCAATGATAGAAACATCACTGCAATACAAAAGGGGCTCAGGCACTGGAAACCCAGCTGAAAATAAGGCTTTCTGCACACGATATTCTCTGTCGACCTGAAGGAGACACAGAAATTTAGGTTCAATTAAAACCTCCCAAACATTAATGAGTACAGTGAATCCTCTTGAATGTTTAATTACATGTAGAGCACAAAACATAGCAAATAATCCAGCAACTCACTGCATTTCTGGACACATTCTTCAATGTGCTTGACCATCACATATAGACACTGTTCACCTGCAATACAAAGTGTATGGAGCTCAGTGAAGAACGTTACTTACCTTGTGTGCTCTAGGTAAAAGGGGACCATGGGGCTTCTTCCTGAGCACAAAAGCCTGCCCACCCTTCTGAAGGTAAAAGGTTGGGTTTGACTGGCCTGAGCTGCAAAGAGAAAAATTATAATTACTCAAAAATTCAAGTACTTACAAATTTGTAAACTTCTAACAGAAATGTGACTTGCAAAATGAAGTGTGACTTGACCTAAACAAAACGGCAAGATGGAGGAAAGCATCTTCTCCAGAATGAAGTGTGACTTGACCTAAACAAAACGGCAAGATGGAGGAAAGCATCTTCTCCAGAGCTGTTTTGTGCTGTGGGTTTTTTTCAAATCTCAACTGAAACAGGCTGCCCAGAGCAGTTGTGGATGCCCCATCTCTGAAAGTATTCAAGCCCAGGCTGGATGGTGCTCTAAAACAACCTGGTCTAGAGAAAGGTGTCCCTGCCCATGATAAGGGAATTGGAACTAGATGATCTTTAAGGTCCCTTCCAGCCCAAACCACTCTATGATTCTATTCTATGATTAAATTACTGATTCCAGTACCAAGCCCCTCTGTTTGACAGCCTGATTATCATGTCCAAAGATTATGCTTAAGGGACAGCCTATAGGAACTGTAAAATTTTAAAGGATGCATGTTCAAGTCATAAAGAAAATTAGGCATTTCAATCACATGTGTAAAAGAGAAGGAAAACACAGTTAAATCCTTCATAACACCTTGTCTATCATATTGCAATCAAACCCATTGATCCTTATTTTCCTCAAGGCTCTAAGTTAATATGCATGCTTTTCTCCCCTTATTCTGGTTACTTTTTAAGATGTATTCTGACATAGTTGAATAAATGATTAGACAGCTATTGGAAAATAAAAGTCAAATGAACTTTTGCCCTCATTCCTCTCATTACATTTCCATTCTCCCCAAAGTAGTTAGGGCATAGTTTGTAATAGTTTAAAAAGTTTATCTGACAAATACTCTGCCCAGAACAAAAGAAATTTAGGTCAGCTGAATCCCTGAACTGTAATTACAATTACAAGACAAAGTAAAAGCACAAATACTAACAAAATTTTAGGAGACTTTACTATTAGCTCTTCTCCTAAGGCGCCCCCTAAATTCTTCTCAGCTGAGGTACATAGGAAATGAATCCTTATTTTTGGAATAACTTTGCTTCTAATAGTTAGTTCCTGACATGAAGTTGTGCAGCCACACCACTGATTTTCTGGATGCAGACGAACTCAGTTCTCTCTGGAACAGAGGCTCCGGAGCCCGGGTGTAGCACCTCCTTGGCACACCGCATTATGCTCCGCGGGCAGTAACGGGAATATCGGCACACCTTTGCGCTGTTCTCTGTGGATTTGCTTACAAATAGTGACAGCCTAACGCTTTTACCATTGATTTCTTAAGCCATGTATGTGCTTCTGAACGTCACTATTTGATGTGCAATTGAAGATGGAGCAGATCAATTGCGATTTATGTCTAGGCAATGAAACAAGAGCGGGTGTACTCTGAGGACAGCGGTTAGTCCACCCAACACAGCCCGCCCACAGACAGCCACAGACTGAGCGTGCCAAAGGTCACTTCGGCCGCCACCGCGAACTTTGTATTCTCCAGCAGCTCAAGGGACGAGCTGTGACGTGCTTTTAATTGGAACAACTCAGAATGCATCTTAAAAATCCACTGATGGCTGCTGCCCGCCATCCCGACAGCAAAGGGCGCTACCCCTGACCACCTTCCCCGGCAGGCGGCAGCGAGCAGCTCCTCTGCTCGCCCCTACCCGGGCCAGGGGAGCGGCGGCGGCCCCGCCAGCTGAGCCAGCCACCTGTCACCAGTGTCACCTGTGTTACCTGTACTGCCTGACAGCCAGCGCGCCCGCGGGCTGCCGAGGGAAGCCGGGCAAGCGGCTGCTCAGGTACCGCTCCAGGCTGTCCTGGTCGAAGCGGTGCTGCTGCCGCACCGCGCTAGTGCCCGGCTCCGCCGCCATCCTCGCAGGCCGGTCACCCAGAGGCGCCTACGGTGCGCCANAAGGGCCGGCCCCGGCGCTTCCCGGCAGCTCCCGGGGCCGGGCACAGACGTGTCGCTGGCATGGCGGATCCCGGTCGGCTGGAGCGGCTGGAGCGGCGCGTGCGGGAGCTGGAGGAGGAGCTGGCCCGGGAGAGGCGCGGGCGGGGAGCGGCGCGGGCCCGCATCGACACCATGAGCCCCGAGGTGACCGACTCCAACCCCTACAGGTGCGCGGAGGGGCCGTGAGGGCTGCGGAGGGCTCTGTCAGGATGCGGAGGATGGGGAAGGAGGGCCGGGACGGTGGGTCTGGGTGAAGCGGGAGAGGCGCGCGGAGGTGGAGGAGGCTCGGACCGGTGGGAATCTCAGGGATGAGGCTGGGTGTGCTCAGAAGGGTGTCGGGCAGTCCAGGAGGCGGGTGCTCCGTGCGGAGCAGGGCAGAGATGCTCTCGGATTTCCCACCTGGCTGGGCTGGCAGGGGTGGATGTCAGGGTTACTTTGTATTATCTTGCTTTACAGTACAGGCGGGGAGAGCGAAAGAGAGGAAATCTTGTGAGTTTTTCAGCTAGGTTGCTGATAAATGGGACAGGTATTACATGAGGTCTTATCCTCATTCCTCCAAATTGCCTATTTTAGAAGTTGGTTTATAGAATTGTTGAGCTTTAGAGACCCTTTCCCTTCTAGAAATCTGATGATTTTTTGGTTTTTGTTTTGTTGATTTGGGTTTGGTTTTATTTTTCCTCAGTACAAGTTGATATATGTACATTCATGAAAAATGCAACAGAGGTATAAAATGTTACTTTAAAATCCTTTCAGTTATCCTCAAAACCAGATAGTCCCTGTTATTTTTTTTTAATGTTACATTAATCTAATCAAGTCGATCAGAAAACAGTGCAAGTCTTCACTAGTTTGCTGCCATATGGTTCATTACCAAAAAAAGTGTCACCTTTCATTCTGTAAGTCAGGGATTCATTTAGAAAAATAGCTGTGTCCTCCTGATGCCATCGATATTACATGTACCAGAGGAATAGGTACATGAGTGCATGAGTTTCTGCAGGGTTAGGACTCTAGTGCAAATAGGAAAGCATCTACTCTGTCACTCAGAACGTACCTAGCTTGCAGTCACAACTGCAGTGGAAATAGCAGGCTTGACTTTATTGCTTGGTGAGGTTATTTCTAAAGCAGAAGTGATTTTAAGTACCTGAAAAGCAAAATTGTTGTTAGAAACATAAAGAACATTTTCTGTGTAATGTTGCATTTTTTTTTCTTCGTAGTCGCTTGATGGCGTTAAAAAGAATGGGAATTGTCAAAGACTATGAGGTAGGATTCTATCTGTAATGAAATATTGCTTGCATTTTTTCCCTGGGAGGACCACATTTGAGATACTGATCTGTATATTATTTCTTTCTACAGAAAATCCGTACCTTCACAGTTGCAGTAGTAGGCGTAGGGGGCGTTGGCAGTGTGACTGCTGAAATGCTGACAAGGTGTGGCATTGGTAAGGTAATGAGAGTTTTATTTATTCTTCAATATCTTTTAGTAGATTGACCAGTCCTCTTTGTAAAGTATTTGATTTGATTTCACCCTGTTGATCACCAAATAAAAAAATATTGTGAAGAAAGCACTCAAGAACAGCGCTTGTGTAAACACACATGAAGAGTATGTATTTTTCTTGCGCTGGTAAAACTGATTTATTTAGAACTTAATCCTGTATCATATGGATGATTTTTGTTTGGATGTTTGTCACTTCCATATGACCCCATCTCACTAATTTTCATGCTGGATTACTGCAAAAGGAAAACAAAATACAAAAAAAGGTGGGGGTATTTCACATAAGAGATAGTGTCTCATATGAACCAAGTTTATCTCATGCAATTGAAATGTCATAGTGGCATAGATGGCAAACAGATCCCTTTATCACAAACATTGGTTTGTCACATGGCAGCAAGTAGGGATGTGATAATAGATGTGATACTGTTCATCTAGGTTAATCAGTTTAATATTCTTAGTTTAGCTCAAATAAAGAGTTAACGTTTTATTGAGTAATTTTAATGACTTAACAGATTGGTTCAGTTTTCATGTCCTTATGATGTGAAATGATGATTCTTGTATGTGAACTGAATGGATCTCTGAGGGAGGGAGTTTGGTTGGGGGAGTTTTCTATGGCTTTGGTTTTAGAATTAATTTTGTTGTTCAAAATGCTTTGCCACAGTGCAGAGTCTCTGGAGATTCACACATGTTAAAACAATCTTTATTCTAGCTGCTTCTGTTTGATTATGACAAAGTGGAACTAGCAAACATGAACAGACTCTTCTTCCAACCTCATCAAGCTGGATTAAGTAAAGTACAAGCAGCAGAACACACTTTGAGGTATAACTTGGAGAAGTGGGTATCAAAATGTATTTAATGAGGATGCTGCTCCAGAAAAACCAATGTTTCACTCTTAATCATTTGCAAAGGAGCATGATCTAATTTGGGAATTTGAGTATGAAATATTTGTGGGGATGATTGATACTTCAAAGACATTTTTGTACTGGCCAATAAACCTTAATGTGAGTCTGCTTTTTAAGTATAGCCAGTTTTGCTCAGAAGTTTGGTATAAACGATGCCACTTCCATACGTTGCGGGTTTTTTTCTTATCTAATCTGAATTTTTGACAAATATGGGTGAATTCTAGAGTTCAGACTGGAAACTTAAGACTGTAGCAACACTTGTGAAGGTGGGAAGTAGAATGCAGATTATCATTGTATTCTTTATTACTGACTCCAATTATTTCCTCCATAAGGGACATTAATCCTGATGTTCAGTTTGAAGTACATAACTACAACATCACAACACTGGACAACTTTGAGCACTTCATGGATAGAATAAGGTAAAATCCTCCAACTTTATCATATTGCTGACTTCTGCTGATGTGTGGCTCTATACAGCCTCATGTCTTTCTTGTTGGGGCTCTTTTTCGATTTAATAACTTCCAATTGAAAACCTCTGGGAAACATATGTATATGAAGACATTCCTCCCTAGATGTGTCCTCTACAGCTGGCATTTATTTCTACTGTTACATAGTTATTTTTTATGAGTGCATCTTTAGATTTCCATCTAAAACACTAGGTTTTCCATTATGGAAAACAGATCAGATCATACCTTGAATGCTCTGTAGTAGTTTCAGGTATGGTTTATAGAATGAAGAAGAAAGTAGTTGTAAGTGGTTCTTACAGAGATCTGGAATAACTTACACCATTTGCAGTTTTGTTGTACAAAGACACAATTCTCTAATACTTTGTACTGTGAGTGCATACTATATAAAACAGTCTAAGATGTCCATATATTTAAATCCCAGGTTCAGCATGATATTGTTTCTACCTCAGATCTAAGATGCTGGTTGTATTCTGTACTGCATTTGCACAGCTTTTGTTAGAAATTCACTTTTCTTGGGCTTCTGTACTCTAAAGCAGCATTTTGATTGCCATGTTGGTATTTTGTTCTGCCAGAAATTTCATATAAACTTCTGATGCTTGTTTCAGTAATGGTGCACTGGAGGAAGGGAAGCCTGTGGATCTGGTTCTAAGCTGCGTGGACAACTTTGAAGCTCGCATGGCAATTAACACGGTAGGGCCACCAAAGGCATGAGCTTCTGGAAGTCCATTTTCTCCTATAAATAATGTTAGGAATTGTGGAAGTATAGAAAAGACAGGAACTTAAAAACAATCTCCTAAGAAATGTCTGCCTTGGCTTGAGAAATCTGAGCTTTTACTCAGTTCTTATCAACTTGTTTAATGTGTATACATATCACTGAAGACTTTAAAATTACTATCAGCTAATGGTTAGTAAAATATTGAAGTGTCATAAACCCTGTCTTTTCAAATTACTCTGTTTATATAATGGTATTTTCAAAGGCTGGTATGCTAAATCTTAGAAACTTAAAGAATTTTCTATAGCTAATTGTATACTTTACATGACTTTTTGTATACTAAAAATGCTGTTTATTTAATCAAACTCTTTTTATTTATAGTAGCAGCCAGTGTAGGGTATATGCCAAATGTATGTTTTCTGTTACCCTTCAGTTGACTTGGTCCATAAATTGCAGGTAGGGAAGGCACACAGATACAGAATTATACAGAATTATATTCTGTAGTGTGCTGTAACTGGGTCACTAATATCTGTATTTGTTAAAACATCTCAGGTCCTCAGGAAAGCACAAAGGGCTGGCTGGCTTCATGAGGGCAACTTTAATTCTGATTTGTCCTTTGATAAATAATTTCTATCTCTTCATGTCCCTTTTTCTGACCCTAGCCTTTTTGCCTGAAAGCAGGGAGATGAATGTGTTTCATCACTCCCAATTTATCACATTTTTGGGTTCCTTTTCATTAAACTTCTGCATTGCTGACATGTGTGTTTATGTGTTTATAAGGCCTGCAATGAACTTGGACAAATCTGGATGGAGTCTGGAGTGAGTGAAAATGCAGTGTCAGGACACATCCAGCTGATCATACCTGGTGAATCTGCTTGTTTTGCGGTACGTGGTGCTCTGCTGAAATGCTCACTTGCCTTTCAGAGTGGGACTGGGAATGCGAAGATTAGTTGGCCTAGTGGGTGTGATCCTGGCACAGCTGATGCAGTACTTTAAAATTCTTTGTGATCTGTGGGATTTCTTGAACGCTTTTTTACAGTTTAATTTCTCTACTGCCCCTCAGTGTGCTCCTCCACTGGTAGTAGCTGCAAATATTGATGAGAAGACATTGAAACGAGAAGGAGTTTGTGCAGCCAGTCTTCCTACAACCATGGGTGTTGTGGCAGGAATGCTTGTACAAAATGTTCTCAAGTAAGTGACTGAGTTGTTGCTATTTGATGTGTACAGCAAAATATGAGAAAAAGACCCCTGAAGGAACATTTCATAATGACAGGTCTGGTTCTTGTCCATGTCTTGTTTCCTAATGGTATTGGCCACATTGAACAGGGCTGAAATACACATTGCTTGAATTTGAACTAGAGCCTTTCAGAGGTAAGAAACAGTTTCAGTGTTTACCAAAGAATTTCTGTTACTGCATACACATATGCACATTTTTTTCTTAGTTCTGCATTTAAACATGCTCTGATTTGACAGCATTAAGTTATACATAAAAAATGCTACAGCACTGACTTGTCTTTGAAATTTTGTACATGGAAAATAATTTACTTCTCTTGCCTGTAGCTGAGTTATTCTCACACACTATGAGAAGATGGGATTCTATATTGATGCAGTTATTCTGTTGTCAGCTGACTGCAGCATAACTGGTTTTAAGGCAATTACAGTGACTCTACAACTCCAGGAAAGTGTATTCTAAAGGTTGAGGAAAAATTATTCCTTGAACAACTGAAGTTATAGGTTTGCAGCTGCATTACAAGCTCCTTCTTTCTCTGTGTTTCTAGATACCTGTTAAATTTTGGTACTGTGAGTTATTACCTTGGTTACAATGCGATGCAGGATTTCTTCCCAACTATGTCTATGAAGCCAAACCCCCAGTGTAGTGACCACAATTGCAGAAAACAGCAAGAAAATTATAAGGTAAAAATGGTTTGTGTTCATGGGTCAATTTTTTTATTTCCCTTTTCTTAGAGAACAAAGCAAGCTGCAAATCTATAGTAAAAGAAAGTGTTCGTTGCTACTCCACTTCGCAGCATTTGTCTTTAGTGGTTGCACATGTTTCTAAATATACAATATTTACCTTAAATTAAAGGGTAGGAAGAAAGGTTGAGGAATTATGTAGAAGAATATATTACTTAACTGAATGCAAACTATTCTGTCACTCGTGTTTCTGAGTGTTAATGGGTTTGGTGTTTTTCTGGACTCGGTGGTATTCTGTTTTTTTGCTCCTAAGCAGTCACCATTTAGAACTTTTTTATCTTACATATTGAAAGAAATGTGAATATCAGGCTTGATCTTCTTTGCTGTTATTGGAAATTGGACTATTAGATTTTGAGGGGTTTACTTTTTGTGTTTTCCCTCCAGAAAAAGGAAGCTGCAAGACCAAAAGAAGAAGTAATTGAAAAGGAAGAAGAAATAGTGCACGAAGAAAATGACTGGGGTAAGTCATTAACTGGAGACTAAATGATGTTCCCAATACTAAGATTCAATTTGAGGGAACACAGTTTAGGGTACATAGAATTCTTCTAGTGCCTACTTTTTGTAACTTACACAGTGTAATTACTGTTGGCTTTTCACAGGTTTTGAAAGTAATTTTACCACAACTTGATGATACGTTTCTAGTGCAATGTGCAGGTTTTAGTCTCAAAATGTAACTGCTGCTTCAATAAAATCTTTCTCAGAAGATGGTCTGAAGATGAGAGAGATATGAGAAAATGTATTAACTGCATATTCCTTTTAAATATACTGAAGAGCAGTTGTCATTTCCATAACCACTGTGCTGAGGCATCCTATGGATTTTTACACTCCTCTGAGGGTTTCAATTTAGAAGGAATTATCTTAAGGAACGGTAAAGGTGTTTTATTTAACCATTTTAACAATGGAGTGTTCTGCTTATTACATGCTATAGAAAATAATCTTATCTTACACTGAGAGAAGTGTCCTTATGGTTAAGTTTAAATGGTAAGGGCAAGGGAGAGATGCCGTTCTGGTTCAGAAGTTGCCTATATAGAATTATTTCATATATTGTAAAGGGAAAATATTTTGTATTGATATTAGAATGAAGTTGTTAAAGTCAAAGGTGTTTCTGCTTTAATTTTTTTCTGTTTTGGGGAAGTACCTGCACCTTTCCTATTACTGTGATAACTTGCTGATTGAAGAACTTTTTCTTCTAACTTTTAATGGAGTTCTTGTTTCCTTTTAATGCAAAGGCATTGAATTAGTATCAGAAATTTCCGAAGATGAGCTGAAGGCTGCATCTGGCCCAGTACCTGAGCTTCCTGAGGGAATTAGTGTAGCATATACTATCCCAGACAAGGTAACATATTTATTCTTTATGAGTTTTTGAAATCCACATTGTAGATTAAATGTACGATAACAGCCAGTTTGGTTACCCTTTAAACCTAAAACAAAATTCCATCTTAAACATTGAAACTTGACCTCAGTTCATTTGAGTATTCCTTTTTATGGTCCAGTTTTGTCTTCCTAGGAAAGATAGTTCTGTAAGTGTGGATGCTAGTCTGAATGCACTGCTGAGATGATAGGAATGCATTTGGGGGCTGGGGGAAGGACAGCAAATGTGAATTTCTAAGTTGGTGTTTTGGTGGCTAATTAATTTTTATCATATGTACCTTGTAAAAGCTGTATGTAGTCAAAGAGCAATGAGAGTACCTGGGGAACATAGAATCTGAATGTATTACAGTAAGAACATTCTAAGTCCTAGTCAAAATAGTTTACAATTGAAGTTTATAATCACTTAGGCCTAGTCTCACAACTGAGTGCCTGGTGCCAGGAAAATGTGCGGTGTAACAACAATAAAGCCAGTCTCTGGGGGTTTTTTGTTTACTTTTTTTGTTGACAACTTTTTCTTCTTCTTCCTAACAGGAAGATAATTTAATAACTGGGGAGACAGTAGCAGATTCTGAAGAAAGCTTAGAAGAACTCATGGCCAAAATGAGAAACATGTAGAAAAACAAATATTGACTACAACTTTCATGAATTTGGATGGACACTGGATTTTGAGAAGACCAGGCTTCTTGTTTTTTTTTCTTTTATCTCTGTTAAAGCCTACCTTTAGCTTTCTGATGAAACAGAACTGTTACAGAGGCAGGAAGGACACAGACTTACATTGTTTATATTCTGTTTTCTCATCATGTCTTTATTAACAGAGCTGTGCTACTATAAATTTTAGTTTCTCAGCATTGCTAGTGTCCAGATATTCAGTGGCAAATAAAAGGACCTGGATAAACTAAAAAAGCAGGCACAGCACATTATATACCCTATCATGTGATGAGAATAGCCCAGAGATCAGGCCAAGGGAAAGATGAAATCTATTGGAGTGGACTGAGTAGGTGAAGGGCAGATGATAATGCCTCTCTCATGTTGCTGCTCTTGATTTTCCAGACACTTGTACTTGGTTGTCATTCATTGCTCTAAAGTCTTGGCATGGATCATGCTGTGGCTACTTTTTCTGAGTAATGAGAACATCTAAGCCTTTTCCTTTGCCTTAAATATCTGTGGAATGGAATTTTCTTTATCAATGTCTTACTAATGCTTGTCCTTAAACAGCTGCCTATGTTTTTTATGTGATGTTTTGAGTATACTGTAAGAAGGTGAAGTCTTTTGTTTGTATTACAGTAGCAGACTGCATATCAGCACGCCACTGCTTTGTCTGGCAGATGTTTTTCATGACAAAATTATGAGCGACATTGTAAAAAACTGGAGATTCTGTCTACCTTTTCAAAAGTCTCAATATTATATTTTTCTTGGTTACTGGAAGTTTAGCTATAATTCTGATCACTCCCAATCACATGAGTTATATTAAGGAACATAATTCTGAGTTTGCATAGAAAATCTTCTAAAATCAGTTGCTATAAATTTTTAGTTTTGCAAATATCTTCATTGGAGTAGCTCACCTATTGTATTTGTCTTAAAAACTACATTAGTACTGTCATAAAACTTTCTAAATGGCCACGTGTTAAATTGACCTGTAAATATTTGCATCCTGGAGTGCCAGTACCCTGCAGAACTGGAAGGATTAATTTTAAATATTTTAACTGCTGTGGGCATCTTATCCAGAACTTGGTAGTTATTTCAGCCTTTGCAGTATAATACAAATATTTCCAAGCTGGGCTCTTCAAAAAGCTTTTCCACAATGTGATGCAGCCAACACAGAGCCAGATGTAAATGGCAGTGGTAGTATCCCACTAAAGGGTAAAGAGACAGCAATATCAAGGTGGTGCTTCTGTTTCTTAGGGCAGCTGAACGATTACCTAGTTGCAGTTAGTTTAAAAAATGTTTTATTTCTGAACAAGGGTTACAAACTTCAAAATCAGTTTCCTCCACAGCTGACATCTTATTATATACATAAAAATCACCTCTGAAACGAGTGAGGGAGATTTTGGGTGGGTTTTGAGTGTGGGGCACGATACTGTAAAATCAAAGTGGCTTTTTTGGATTGAGTTCTGTTTTAGAGAAACCAGGTTTTAGAAATGAACTGCAAAGAAAGATAGGAAATAGAATAATGAGACCATTAAAAAGGTAGATACTTCAATCTGTGTTAGCTTGATCCAGCTTCAATTTACGTGTTGCTTACATTTCTGTATGACTTTCACCTTTCTGTTGGGAACAATAAAAGTCAGGCACACAGCTGGCTCTGGAGATCCTGAGGCAAATGGCTGACCCATTTCTACTCAGTTCATCCTGACTCTTAACTATGTGTCTAGCTGCTATCACAGCTTCTCAAGAGGCAACTTCATGTCCACTTTTATGAAGGAATTAATACACTTCTGTATGCCCTCTTAGCAAGTACACAAAATGGTTCCTGTGTTACTTTTAGATTTTCAACTTGTATATACTTTCAACTTGTATAAGAAGAACTTGAAATAATCAGAAAATAAATAAAAGATGATTATATGTGTCAATGGTTAAAACTATTTAAAAATAAACAGCATCCAAAAAAGCAGCATTAAGGATTTTTTTAAATTAAAAAGATATTTACATGTATAATGTGCTCTAACTGTAAAACACAATAGATTATTTATTGCTTCCTTGGTTATGAACTAACAAATCAAAGTACATTGCCATGATTAAGTCCAGCTTTGTTTGTTTGTCAATCTTATAAAAGTGTTCAGTTTTTAGTGTCTCATGAACATTATTAAGATGTTGATATTCTGACAGTGTAATTAAATCTCCATTTAAACTGGTGACCCTCTGCTTTGAAGTGGAGTTCTATACAGAAGTATAATCTGGCACACCCCATATATATATAAATATATACAGATGGTTTTTCCTTGCTGTCCATGAGGCACAGCTCCATGAAAGCTGTTTTGTAAGCTTTCTTTGGGTTCACATGGTAGACACGTGGATTCCTCACCCTCTTTGCTAAAGGATGATGGATGGTTGGGGTCTGCTACTTTTTAGGGACCAATTTTTTATTTTAATTTTTTTCTTATTCCAAAACCAGCCCTGCAGGGCTATGAGGAAGTTGGAGAGAAGCTCCAACTGGTCAATGGTCTGTGGAAAGAAGAGAATATTCTGTTCAATGGAAGAATTGTAACAGTACAGTAACATTAAGGATCTAGAAAGTAACTTCTTATTTAAACTAGGCACAGTAGGGGAAACTTTAGGAGAGGAAGATGCACCACTGTTAAAATCAGAACAGTCATAACAAGCTAGACCACACATCTGGTAATTCTTTAGAGGAATTACCAGGTCTAAGAACATCAGGCAACATGAACACACGAGTTGAGTAGGTTGAGGTTTTGGAGGATGGGGGTGTTTAGGTTAGTTTTGTTTGAAGTTTTTTTTTTTTATGTTTGTCTGTTTTTCCTTTTGCCCCTCTTCTTAGTTGGTGACAATCCTGCAAAGAACTTTCCCATTTTCAAAACTTTTCAAGGTGGCTGAAATAAGGGTTTTACCACTCTGCTTTGCTCACAAACCCATTTTCTGAATAAGAGGAGAATATCCAGAGAGCTATTACAAAATGTCAACTCTTAGTGCTCTATCATAACAACCTCAAGAGCTGTTTTTGATTTTTGTTTTCAACTACACCCTTATCTTAAAAATCAAATTTGAGTTGTATATTTGTGCATATTTTTGTCAGTTTTATATACCTCTTCTTTTGCCAAGTTCCTTAATTACCAAAATACTAAATTCCTCCTAATCAGAATTAGGTCTGAAATGAGTAATATTTAATTCTGCTCTAAAAGAGAAAAAACACTGTGGAAGGTAAGTACTCGTTTGAAGTGAAGACCATTTGCATTTTTGAAACTGCATCAAATTAATCTTCATTTGCCTCTGAAATATAGTAGGGTTTCAATTAATTTTCCATTTAGGTTCTGGTTTTTATAAAAAGTCTTTTTTTAGTATGTATTTAAATTGATGCATGTACTTATGGACTGAGAACAGAACTCAGACTGGTTCTTTCAGATGACTCGTGTGTTAAGAAATACAACAGACAGGTAGATTTGATTAACATTTCTTTATCAGATGGCAAACTATTTTGCATCACTAGATTTTCCTAGCCAATACAAACATTCTTGTATTTTAAGGGATTAAATAAGATTAAATAGCAGAAGTATTGCTAAAGGTTTAAGAACAGGAAATCTGGCCATGATCATCTTCATTCTGATTGCTCGTTGGAAGTATTTTTATTGAACAGAGTGGAATCTTACAACAGCTTTAACTGTAGATGATATATTTAGATACCTTAGCTTCCCAAGGAAACCAATTAATTTTCCACAAGTCCCCTGAATCAAAGTTTGCCTACAGCTTAAATAACGCTGCAGGTAAAACTTCAGGTTAAACAGTATTTTCAGTTTTTTCAAAATGACCATTTTCTTCAGAAACAACTTTAAAGGCTTGTAAAAAGGCAGGAAGGATTGATGATAGAAAAATACACAAATCCTCTAAGCCATGCCATTACAACACAGAAATAAGAACTACTCCTCAGTGTTTATACAATTTGGTATAATCCTGGCACTTAGACTAAGAGGCATCATGTCCATATTTTTGGTGTTAGCTACAACTTGAGCTAGTAACTAAGGTGTGTACCCACATACAATGAAAGAAGCTCACTTCGTACCATACAGTCTGCAAAGCTAAGGCAGAAGGATTTCAAGCTGAAACATTTGTTTCCATGTCATTCATGAAGACAGGTGTGAGTCCTAGAACATAATCCTTGGAAAAATGGATTTGTTGCAGTAATTTTCTGTCTACTTGAAAATATCAATAGAGACTTCCTTTTCTTGGAGCAGGTTTATATCACCTTTGTCCATGTTCTGGGAAAGCGTTTGGTGATAATGCACTTTTTAAGCTGAATGTGTCTCCACTTGATGAGTGTCGAGAAGTTGCTTTTCCACCTATCAACAAAGTTTCTGCTTCTTTTATTTCCATAGCTCTCTTGTAAAGTTCAGCTGCCTTCTCAAAGTCTCCCCTTTCATAGCTTTGGAAAAGAGCAAAACAAAGTTTCATTTGAATTGAAATATACACCATACTATCAATGTACTTAAAACTCTCTATTTTCCTAGAAAGTACACAAGCCCAGATGTTTTGTTTCACGCAGTAATTTGCATTTATTGGGTTGAAGCATTTAATCTTACCTTAGCACAGCCAAGTTTTTCAGTGTTTCCCCCACGCGAGGATGCATTTGGCCAAAGCTGTCTTCGTAAATCTTCAGTGCGCGTTCATAGAGAGGCAAAGCTTCAATTTGCTTTTTCTTTGGGTAGCAGAAAGTTTCTTTGTTACAAACGAGTATCTTTGTTACAGATGTGAATTACATTGGCTTTTCTTTTTTTGCCAACACAGTATCAATACATCCTAGATGCAATGTGTTGCCTACCAGTCACAGCAATTACATTTCCTTGAAACACATTTTCTTTGCCAAATATGCTTTCTATACTTAAAATGGAACCCAAGAATTTGCAAGTACTATAAGGAATTTCCCTTTTCAATACGGTCAAGCTTCTTTTGTTTCATTTAGGTACAAGTCATAAAAAAGCCTAAGACAGGAAAAACAAATGTTAGACTTGAGAAACTTACCATCTGACAGTAAAGGACAGCCAGGTTTACTAGAGCAGTTGCTACACTTGGGTGTTTTGGGCCAAATGACTTCTGTCGAATTTCAACTGCTAGCTCATACAGAGGAACAGCCTTGTCAAGCTTTCCCTAGGAATAACAGGAAAAAAAAAGATTCAGTACTCTTGTATCAAGATGGTAACAGCAAAATCTATTTTAAACAAAAGCCTTGGAGAAGATCTAATTGTTTCTAGAATAAGGGGATAACTTTGCTAAATAATATGTATATGCTGCACAGATAATTTATTGTGAATATTTATTAGAACCTAATTTTCCAAAATACTGGGCATATTCAACTCCCAGTTAAGGTGTTTCTCAGCTAGGTCTATTTCTTCCTTTCTTAATTTATTTTTTCCCCACAAGTGTCTCATTGAGAAGGCTGAAAAAAAAGAATTTCAGTTGTACTTTTATCTAAATAATTGTCTCCACTGACTTCTAATTTGTGCTCCTTTAAACTAGCAAAGAGGTTTTTGATGCAAATGTTGAGTGGTTTTTCAGCTTCTAGCAGCATGAAAATTAGGAGCTAAAGTGAGCAGAAAATATCGTGACCCAAAACCATTTAATGCACACAATAGCAAGTAGCAACTATTTAGCAAAAACATGAGCAAATTTGATCCAAGAGATTATCTTGAAGGTCGTTTTTCTCTTTGAAGTACAGTAAAATGTGAAAATAGAAAATAGATAAAATTCTTACAATTCACTGAACTTGATCTTGGTTCAACAGTTGGAAAGAGTACATCACTATTACACTAATAATAGCAAATGGTTAGAACAATCATCTACAAACACAAATATTCATAACCCATTTTGAAATTATGAAATGGAGACGTTTATACTCTGGTTAATTTTACTCCTCACAGTGCATTTTGCATGGGAGTAATACTCATCTTTCAC